TCTCAAATGCTTTGTCTACTATATTTGGTGCAAATCCTCTATCAATAGCTAGATACTTAATTAGTAACAATTCGTTATTTAAATCTTCCTGTCTTGAACATATTTTTATAGCTCTATAAACATATGTATAAAATGTTGATATTTTTTGGGTTTTTATATGACATGATTCTTTGTGTGGCGACATAAGAATGGCAAAAGGTTTTCTATAAACTGATGTTTCTAAGTTACCTTCTGCTTCTTTCCTAACTAATACGTCTAAGAAATTAATGCTATTATTATCTTCAATATCACACGTGAATTGAATTGCTGGTTCTTTACTATTTAAATAACTAAAAAATTCTTGTAGTTTGCTGTTGCCATGTCGCCACACCAGGAATGTGTCACCTACACATCTTATCCAAACTTCTGGCTTAAATTTAGCATTATTCAAAGTTTAATTATCAAAACTATCCATATAAATGTCACGTAACAACGTTGACAAGGGGATCCCATAGATAAACCCTCTTTCTGTTTATAACAATTTTGATTAACTTGATTAACAAAATGGATTATCTACACACACTCTTGTTAGTTTCAATATATCTATAATTTCGACTGTTGGTACTCTGTTTTCTATTAATTTATCCTCAAACATCTAATAGCGTCATCTAATGGTGTTTTAGTAAACAACGATATTACATCAAATAATACCAATAAGTCTTCCTTTTCTAATTTTAGGTTTTTAATCTTCTCTACAAATTCTATAGAATTTTTGACCGTACATTTGTTCTCATTTCTCAAAAAAGAATACTTACGTGTTATAAATTTTTTCTATTTCATAAGATGACGAACCTATACTTAATGCTATGAGCCTAAAACAGTTATTGTTTTTATGTATTTTTGGTAATATGTCAAACCTTGGTGCAATAAATCTACTTGGTACTAAACATTTTTTCTCTTCAGGGGTTAAAATTAGGCTATTCTTAACACTAGTTTTTACCTTTTCATGATATTTGTTTATTGGGTTATTCTTAAGATTTTCATATGTACTTTCTTTCAATATGTCTTCTACCTGGGACCGACCTTGTAACCATTTTGTGCTTGTTATTGTTTTCATGCTATAACTTTTAAATTAGCATGCAAATGTTAACAAAATTTGGCAGGTTATCAGTAAACATTACAATGCTTTCATACGCAAAATATCAATTTTTTTTTTATTCAGTCCTTAGGTTTGTAGAGCAATGCTTTTCTCATGCCTTTTTCTTCTCTCATGTTGCCTATGTATCATGCAAAGTAATTTTCATCTTAAAATAAAAATACTTTTATGCATCAGAAAATTTTCAAATTTCACATGTGAAATCTTTCTGTCCAGATAGTTATCAAATGTTTCTTAAATCTCATAACATTACACATTTATATATATTTATCATTTTTATTATATTGACCTTTCAGCCATGCCTGGCTAACAATACAGCAGTTACAATGACGTGGCACACATGCATTCATATTACAGTATCAAATAACATAAAACTGACCTTTGGTCTGTACAAAGTAAGTTGCCATGGCTGTGTTTTAGTAGACTAGTATTTTGTAAAAAAAAAAGTCACATTTCAATTATTATCCATTATATATGTATATAGATTATTGCTATTTTGAAATAAGTTCTTAAACTTATTTTTCTTAAAATATAGATCAGTAAATAAAGAATTAAAGCAAACAATTATCTCTTCTAGTTACGACCTTTGTTCTCGGTTGTTGCTTGACGTAGGTTGCTAAGCCTTGAAACATTTTGTACATGGAGGATATGAAACAAAATTTTCTTTAGGTTTTAGATATACATTTGAATAACTAAAAAATCATAAATTACTATATCAATACCATAGAATTCCACTATAATTTATCAAGCTTAGTAACTAAGATGTATTTTAGTCTAAACAATTATGAAATTTTGAGCAGACTAAAGACACAACCTACCTCCTTGAAATCTTGGTTCAAAAGAAAGAAATGGCATCCTAAGAATTTATAATGGCTGAGAAAGCCACTAGGGGGACATTCTGAGCTTTCGATTGGTTATTTGTGTCATATATAGAAGTAAGTATATATAATGGAGCATTTTCAAAAATGTAAAGAGGTGAGAGGGTTGCCACTGTGTTTGATTTATTACATGAGCAATATCTTAGCAAATTAAAAATATACTCTAGCTTGTCAATATCAGTAATTTGACTTTCTAGTTTGTACGAAACTACAGACTTTGTATTTTGACTTCACAACCACCTAATTTGAACAAGTGCAGCATTCAATATACAACGTGACACACAAAAATTGATGTTTATCTGTGTTTTTTTAATATTTACTTTTAAATTAAGAAATTGAGTAATGTATATTATTAAAATTTAAATTATAATCTACAGTTTGATACCAAACTTACTGACAAATTCATGAAATATTCGTTCAATAAAATTTTGAATGCGAGTCAACAAACGAGATGACCCATTTCGAAAGGGTTAATTGTTACTATTGTAATGCTACAAGTATAAGATATTAAACAAATTACTTTAGAGCACTGGTAGGAAAGGAGGATTTTGATATAATGGGAATAACTGAAACATGGTTAAATATAGATGATTTTGATGACAGAATTTTCTTCAAAATACAGGGTTACATGCTATTTAAAAGGGATAGGGGAGGAGTGACTTTATATCTAAAATGCAAGTTTTATCCTGTTGAAGTTGAGGATATCAAAGATAATAGCAAG